TGACCAGCCTTACATATTTAAATTCCTTTTAAATATACAGTAACAGTAACAGCAACCAACCAAACAAACAGTGATAAAGTCAGATTATATGTTGTGTCTGCATGAAATAAAAACTCCTTGTATGTTTGCACATACAGTATTAAACGCTAACACTGTGCCGCTGCAGCAGTTATTTGTAGTGGATGTTACAGATACAATTATCGAATTATTAACAGATTGTCTCGAGTGATAAAGACAGCAGCGCAAGACGTTGATTCTACATCTTCAATATTATTATTATCATCTGATGCTTAATCCTTTGTGTGCAGGGAGTGTGAGTATATCAACCAGGCAGATGAGGAGGACACTCTTTATCGCGTGGCCACACCGTCCGTCAGCAAACGGGGCAAAGGCCAGGACTTTATCATGCTGGCATCTAGGAGGATGCCATGTGACGCCAGGTCAGTGACACTTCTTTAATTATTTCTCTGCTGTATTCTTTCATTTTCTCTTACATTTCTTGATTTCCGTTTCCACCTTTTTATATGATATATTTATGCAACCAGTTATTGCATTACTGCTTGCTCCTTCGTAAGGTCTCATGATGGTATCCCTGCTCCTCTCAGGGACCCGTATCTGATCGCCCTGCGCTCCGTCACTTTGCCTACTCACCCCCCCACGGAGGACTACACCAGAGGAGAAGTGCTCTGCGCCGGCTTCACAATCTGGGAAGAGTCCAGCACTGTCACCAAGGTTGGCACTTCAGCATGCCGCGTGCTATGAGCTCATCACTGCATTAGCACTAACGATTCATCACTGCAGAGCTAGGAACACACAGGCTGCAGTGGTTTACTGCACCACATGTGACCTGTAAGAGCCACTTACACACAGAGATTAGATTAGATTATACTTTATTGATCCCACATTGGGAAATAGTTTTGTCATAGCAGTACTGTATGTAAACAAAGCATTCCACATGAATTAAAATTTAAATAAAATAGAAAATAAACAGTAAATATATATATCAACACTAAAAGATATATACTGTATCTAATAAATATAGAGTTTAAGTTAGTCTAGACATATTTATTTTTGAAAAAATATATTTATATTGGCATTACAGATCACATATTAAAATGAATACCACAATTGTTGTATAGTTCAGTTTGTATTTATGTTATTGGAGTATGAAAAGGTCATGCTTCTGTTATTATTATTATTATTTAAGACGGGTGATAGGGGCCGCAATGCAGCTTTCTGTGCACATGTACAAAATAGTTTAAAGAGTACATGTTATATTTTTCTCATACTGCCTGTGCTGCAGCACCTCTTTTCACCCTCTGTCTGAAACCAGAGCCCAGTCTGCTCTGATTGGCCGGCTCTGTTGTGATTGGTCAACCTCTTAGAGATGTCCCGCCCCTTAGCCTATCACGTACAATGTGCGCTAGCCAATAGAAGCCTAGTGCTACAAAGTGATGTCACTATGTTACAACTGTTAAAGAAAAAACGTAGTTTGCTAAAAAGGCCACTTTATGATCTGATGTGTTTTTGTTTCAGATCACCTACTACAACCAGGCCACTCCGGGTGTCCTCCCCTACATCTCCACAGACATCGCAGGACTCTCCTCCAGTTTTTCCAGCACTTTCTCAGCCTGTAGTCACTTCCTGGAGGCCAACAAGGACAGCCCGGCTGCTCTGCCTCTGTCTGCACTGACACACAGCATGGCCTCCCTACAGGTGGACCAGAAGCACCAGCAGGAGGATTAGCATGAAGTCTCACACATACTTGAATGTACTGTACGTGTCCTACCCTGAGATTACAAACATATTATCAATTGGTTTGTATGTTCTTTAAAGTCCAACTGTTTGACTTTGTTTATTCTGAAAATGAGAATAGTTCTCTTGAAATAATAACATTGTATGCATGTTTTAGGTCTTGCAACTTGTTTTAAGCAAGATGAATAGGTATGAAGCAAGAGTGCACAATGCGTCTGAGCCGTTCTTGGATTATAAGACTTACGTTTTCTTAGAGCTAATATATAAGGAAAACCTACTGTACTATACTAATTTATAGATCAATTAATTATATTTTGATTTAAGTATTCAACACAATCTTTGCAATGTATAATCGTGAGAAAGCCATGTTTATTATGGTATTGCCAGTCTTTTAGTCTAAACTGTGATGTGTCAATCAGCCTCTTGTTATAGGTTATTTTCTACCTCCTGAATAAAGTTTTTCAATTATTTGATCAAGACTTTGAGTCTGAGTAGGCCAAGATGAACATTTATTGTGTACTGTTGCCTTTATTTTGAAATGTATGTATTTTAGAGGACAACTCTTGCACTGATTGTATGATATATGTTGACATTTAATGGCTGAGTATCTCACATGTCAAGCTGTCTTGATTTGAACTGAAACAATAAACACAATGGACCAGTGGATTCTTCTCATTTAGCCACCTCCCTCACCCTGCATTCCTGCCATTCTTATTCTTATCTTATCTATCTTATTCCTTGACCATTTTCAAGGCAAACAGCTGCAGCTCTACCCCACTTGTGATGTTAGTGTTGTTATACTGTAGGTGCTCAGGACAGAGGAGTAGTTTGAAGTTCAAGTGAAACAGAAAGGTGGTTATATTTGGAATCATAGCTTTCCAGGTATTGTGTTTGTTCCATAATTCCTGCTATGATATCATCACTTCCTGGAGAGCAAAACAGGGAAGTGCATAAGTAACAGCGGTGGAATGTGACAAAGTACATTTACTCAATTGTTGTACTTAAAAACGCCCTACAGTGTTATGATTTGGGTGTTTTCCCTTACCTGTAGAAAGTTAAATGTTATATAAAAAAATGTTGCATGTAAATTGTCTGCAAAGGCAACACTTCTATAGGCTAGAGCTCCAGCACATTGCAAGTGTAGAGGCTCTAAATACAAATATGAACCTTAAAATAAGCATATTATGTCCTCTTTAAGGACTTATTGACATACTTGTTGTGGGGGAAACTTCTGAGGCAATTGAAGCAAATTGGCGTCAGGACTCAAAGAGAGACACGATGGAGAGCTGGAGCTTTGATGGCAAACACTGACGGTTTATTTGGAGCTTCGGCCGGAGAATTCACAAGACATGTCACGGGCCACGAGTTGACCACACGGTTGAGATGCCACACCAATTCTGAGGAACTCTCCTGTAGCTCGAGGTTTGAACTAGTTCAGAGTGTAATAATCAACATTCTTCAATAGATAGACTAAACAGCTGAGGACACTGAATCACATTTGTTGTCGCTTATGGCTCGGGTCATCTACACCCCGAGAAGGATGTGTTCCAGGTGTCCCACAACAATAACTATCTCTAACAGAGAGTTGCCCGGTCATAAACTGGTAACAACAACAACTTGCTAGGGCAGCCCCTCCTTATGGGAGATAACGGCTGCTCAAGGTGAAGGTTGGCCAGCTGTGTCACAGGGCAAAAGGTAAACATGTAGGGCGAAATTATTCCCTGACACTTGTTCTTTACTCAAGTATTTCCATTTAATGTTTAATGTACTTCTACTCATCTGCATTGTGAAGCTTAATATTGAACTCCTATACATTTATCAAACACTCATAGTTACTACTAAAAAAAGTAATGTGATGCAGGACTGTTATCTTATAATATCTTATAGTATTTCAGGAAGTTCCTAAAATTGGCTTCACATTTACAAACTCCAACATTAAAATGAAAGGACACGTATTTAAGTTTAGTGATGAAAATATTATTATAATATCATATAGCCATTTTGCATACTTTTGATACATGAAGTACTTTTGGCTGATAATGAAATTAAGTTAAGGATCTGAGTATTTCTTCCTCCACTGATGCATTCACGATTAAAACATGTATTGCACGTTATATTGAGTACTGTGTGACATAATTAATGTAAAACTGATGTTGTCAAACACAAGCGAGCCACTCATTCTGTGAAATGAATCGGTCTAATTCTCCCTGGATGTGTTCTGTTGGCCTGCAGCTTGTCGCTCGCTGCCAGGTCATACCACTCTGCAGGTCACTGTGTGTGCCATGTGTGCTATTCTCGTTAAAGGCCTCGGTCAGTGAGGCAAGCTGCCCCCCCTCACCCCGAGGGCCTTCATCAGCGCTCACTCCAAGCCATCCCATTCGATCTGTTATAGAAAGTCAGCCTGCACCTGCCTGTCCCTGCTGGCTCTTAACACGTCCAACAGCCTCCATCTGAGCCCTTCTGTCAGAGTGTCTTCTCCCTGGTGCTCTGAGCGCTTTAGCTGTATAGACTGGTTTCCAACTAGCAGCCGTGTGGACAGAGCTCTGTGAGCTACAAACAGCTTTATCTTAGTAGGCCTACTTTAAAGAGGCCATCATATGCTTTTTGGGGGTTTCCCTTTCCTGTAGTGTGTATAGGTTTTTGTACATGTATGTATATGGTTTGCAAAGGCTTAAATCTAGAGAGAGTTTGTCTCCCACACTACCTGAAAGAGCAGCTGACACAGGGCCATGGTGACCACTGAAGATTACAATGTCCTCCTTTTTATGTCTGGGCATTTAGAGGAGTTCACATTCAAAAGTTCAACGCAACTCAATTGATGGGTTTGAAAGACTGATTTCATTAAATTCAAATTAGATTACTTAACATAGTTAGGCATAGTTAAACCTGAGCAGAGGTATATTCTAACACTTGTGCAGGTTTGCAAGGCTGGTGAATTAGTTTCTAATCTTATTTCACACGCTCCCATTGCTAAAAATATGTTTTTTCTTAATATTACTGTGTATTTTGTTTTAAAGTGAACAGTTATGTATTGATAGTTCAAAACATGTAGCACTGTTGAAGAGATGAAGGTGCATCAAATAAAAAACAACATGTTCCTACAGAAATGATAAAACATTGGCTGAGTTATTGGGTTATTGGTCATCATCTCTGAATGTCCTGCAGATCCACCCACCCTCAGCACAACGTGCTCCTTTTACTCCCCGCCTACGTTGTAAACACTAAACACGTGACCGGAAGTGAGAGACTGAAAGAGACAGATTTGCAGCACAGTACCGTTAGATAAAACTTATGAGACACTAGTGACAGAATGAGCCAGGAATGTAGCACAAGGTTACAAAGTGCAACCAGAGAAAAACTCAGGAAGTTTGATTCTCTGCGCGGTGAGTTTTATTGAACTGTCTTGTATTCTTTTCCTAGGTATACTTCCTCCTCCTGTGTTATAAACACATGCTTTTTCTCCGACTGCAGCTGGAGAGGTGCAGCCCGGTGAGTTTTGGGACGTGGTGGTGCTGACAGCTGTGGATGAGAAGCAGAGAGAAGCCTATGAGCTGCAGATCAGAGAGAAGCTGCTCAGAAAAGAGCTTCCGGTCGGAGTTCAATACAAAGTGTTCGCAGACCCGCCTGGAACTAAAATAGGTGAGCGACTCAGACGGTTTTATTGCACTTCTTTCTATCTGTTGCTGAGGATCAACAAAGCACAGCATTTATATTTGTAATACTTAAATGACCTTGTGTTTAAGGGAATGGAGGCTCCACTCTGTATGCCCTGCAGCAGCTGAATGAAGTCTATGGGAAGACTCTGTGCAGACTGAGGGTCATCCTCATCCATGCAGGTTTGATATTTCAATGACTTTTTGTTTTTGTTGATCATTTAAACAAAGTAGAATAAAGTTTTTGCTGCACTTTGTGTTTGTGTCTCTCCGCCTTCTTCTACAGAAGGGATTCATTATCATGTAATTAACTTAACAGAAATGATCTCATGCACCAAAATACACTACATATTTCATTCAATAATGGTAGAGATTCTGCAAAACTGATCTTGCCATATTGCAATTTCGCATATCCAGCTGCCCTGAAACGTAATCTGATTTAGGCAAACATGGAGGAGGAGAATGATATTGTAAAATCAGCGTGTGGAACATATTGGTTATATGATTACCTGCAATTTGTAGAGCATTTAGACAGCTTTTTGAAATAGAATAGCATCAAATCCTTCAGGAAAAGTCTGGTCTATTCTTTGGTATACTTCAGTAAAACTTTGTGGTTTTAAATTGCTTAATATTGGGCTGAAATAAGTCAGAACACTTATTGTTGCACCTGTTTACCTTAAAACTGTAAATTATATTTTTATTCAGAAACCTTAAAGTTTTCATTTTGAAAGAGTTTTATTTTTACAGTTTTAATAATTGTGTTGTTTGATATTGTGCAAATTGTAGAACAAATGTGATACAGTATAGTATGGTTAATTTAAACCATTTATTAATTACATTTACTGAACAATAATTGTATCATGATGAATACAGTTATTATTTAAAATAAAAATATACCGTGTTATATCATTTTGGCCTTATTGCCCACCCACATTTCAAAATGAAGGTGTTGATAGCAAATGCTCAGACATTTTTGAATTATTCCCGTACTGTTTGTGATGTTTCCCTCTTCTCATCGTCTGCAGGAGGGTTCAGCCAGCGCATGCCGAGTGCCAGCGCTCTGGGGAAGATCTTCATGGCCGTGCCTCTGGGGGACCCTCTCTACCAGATGCTGGAGCTCAAACTGGCCTTATATGTGGATTTCCCGTCTCAGATGAAGCCCGGTGTGCTGGTGACCTGCGCGGACGACATCGAGCTCTACAGCACCTCAGAGGACGAGAGGGTTAAGTTCGACAAACCTGGCTTCACCGCATTAGCCCACCCCTCCCCACTCTCTATCGGGACCACCCATGGAGTGTTTGTGTTGGATTCAAAAGAAAAATCGTCTAATTCTGAAATGGAAAACACCTCCTGCCTGCGCTTTCTGCACAAACCGAGCGTCGATAAGATGCGTGACACCGGGGCTGTTTGTAAAAGGCAGAGTGGTTGTTTTGTGCTTTCTGACGCTGAGTTTGCCTACACAGACAGCACCTATTACATTGATTTTAATACAGCGATGTCTCTTCTCAATCTGCTGAAGGAGTTAGGGCCTTTGGACTGTGAGGTGGACGCTTACGGAGACTTCCTCCAAGCACTGGGTCCTAACGCCACCATAGATTACACCAACAACACTGCGAATGCCACCAAAGAGGAGAGCAGTCTAGTGGCAATCCGCCAAAAGATCTTCCATCATCTAAAAGGAACTCCTTTGAATGTTATCCTCTTGAACAACTCCAAGTTTTATCACATTGGAACCACGTCAGAGTACCTGTTTCACCTCACGGAGGATGTGATGCTGAGGACTGAGCTGGGTCTCCTGTCCTCTGCATTCAGCGTGGATATGAAGGAAAACTCAGGATGCTGCGTTATGCACAGCATCCTGGACCCCAGTGTCTCTGTGGGAGCTGGGTCAGTGGTGGAATATTCCAGACTGGGAGCAGGAGCTTCTGTAGGTGTTGGCTCCATCGTAAGCAGCTGCTGGATCCCTGCAGGACTCTCAGTGCCCGATAGCGTCTTCATGCATTCCCTGTGTGTGAATCACAAGCAGAAAACCAGGTTTGTAACCGTCGTCTTTGGCATAAACGACGACTTGAAGCGCAGCGTGAAAGCCCCGGCGTTTATGGAAGATTTGAATCTGTTTGGTGTCAGCGTCGCAGAGTCTTTGTCTCGCTGGGGGCTTGAGAACGAAGCCCTGAGGTTCTCCGGTGATGCTTCAAACTGTAGTTTGTGGAGCGCTTGTTTGTCTCCTGTTTGCTCGGATCAACAGAGCTCCTTTTCACTGACTCTGGAGATGCTGCAGGCCGCGCTGAGTGGCTCTACTTTCACTTTACCCAGAGACACAAAGCTGATGTCCATGCAGGAGGCCTTACAGTGTAAAGACCTGCAGCAGATGTTGGAGTTCAGAACAGGACTTTACGAAGACATCAAACAGAGGAAACCTACCAACTGAAGACTTTAATTCAGATTATGAGACTGTTTAGGTACCAGAAAACATTGATTGTGCTGTAAATAATTTATTTATGGTAGGATTTTTTGATTATCAAATGATTGTTTCAACAGTGTGAAGAGCTGATATGGATTTAGTCATCTGATTCACTTTTTATGAAGTTAATACTTACATTTTTTTTATTTAAATATAGCTTTCTGGTGAAGCGTTAATCAACACTGTGCTAGATTAACATGCCCTAAGTCTTGTTATAGTGTGAGACAATTATATTGCTTTCAAATATACCTTTTTTTTTACAGTCAAGTGTGTCCAATAACATTATTAGTTTCCATATTGTATGGACTCATTATCGTTGCTTTTTTTCGAGAATGACACGTCAACATGTCTGCAATATGAAGACATGAGAAAATATACTAAAATATCCAAATACTTTATATATTTTTCAATGTCACACACAGTCACAGTGATACACGGCTGCTTGCATTTGGAGGGAGATCGGTTGTCGTAGTTGTTGGGCATTCCACTCTAAGGAGTTTATTTTTAGCCCTCAGCCATGATCCGTGCTTTATCTGGACCTGTGTGATAGTGGCTCAGAGAGATTGTATTACTGCTTTACCAAACAATACAGCACACATCACAGGAGAAGAGACGCCTGATCAATGGGAAACTACAAATCCAGACCATCGCAGACATGCACAGGTAAAGGACGGTGTGTTTGTCATAGTTTTATTAATATTATATGTATCGACAGGACTGAGAAAGAGATTTTAAATGAAGAAGGAAAGCCTGGCGGTTTGTGTGGCTGCCATTACTCAGCAATACAAACACTGACATGTACAAGCCATTAAAAAAAAACAAGTGATTGATAAAGATTATATGTAGGGCTTAAAAACTGTTGTTTGCACTATTTGATACATGTTCATTAAGAGATATTTCTGCAAATGGAAAATAAAAGCATTCTATATCAGATGCAATTGAAGAAGTGTTGTTGTGTTTAACCCTGATGAAGATGAGTGGAAGAAGAAGGTGGGCGAGTCTTACTCTCTGATCGTAGAGAAGTTAGATGACGACTTCACGCTCAAAGACAGCGAGCTCGGGGAGCTCCATCTGGCTTTCAGGTGACAAAACACATTTAACTCAATTGAATTGATCAACTTTTTATGTTGGTTTTGCTTCTCTGTGTCAGTCGGATGTCACTTCTCACAAGCAGCTAAGTGAGGTGACTAACTGTACCATGCACATTTGCTTATCAAAGGAATTAAAAATTATAGGATATTGTTATTAGGACATTATTTTAAAACCTAATAACTTGATTTAATATTCCCCTACACCCCCTTACTATTCATTTAGCAATTCATTAAAAATGCTATATAGTGCTGCTTATCTGTAAACTGACATGCTTGAGTTGTACAACAATTATTAAATGTTGTTTCTTCTTTCAGATTTAAAATGATGTTATTGTTTTAACGGTCACTGCACCTTGGCCATTAAACCTAACATCAAATATATATAATTTAAAACTAAATCAAATGTAGTCCCTAAAGGTTTAACCTAATTCAAAAGAATGCACAATGTTTTTTCTTATTTGAAGCAAATGTAGGATTCTTGATGCTCTGAGTTTGTATCTGAATTGAACTTATTTTAAGTCGTTTTGGATAAAAACAGCAGATGAATGTAATGTTACGTGAACATTTACATTTGATTACAACCCTGTAAGCAGGTGATGTGTATTTTGTGTGTCTCAGCTCTGATGAGGCTTTCCTGAAGGTGAACGTGAGTTACCGAACAGAGAAGGGTCTGTCGCTGCTGCACCTCTGCTGCGCGTGTGGAGGTATGCATGACTACTACTCTCTAATAATAACTCCTCTACAAAATGTGGCGCTGGAAGAGAGGATCACCGTGAACTGACTGACACCACTGTCTGCAGACGACCTCTGCTGCTGCTCTCATGAAAACCAACTGTAGATCTGTTATATATTGTATAGAAAGATATAGAAAGAGTCAAATTGGAGGAAATCAGTAATGAAAGAGAGGTACTCACATATTATACTTAAAGTGGACCTATCATGCTATATTTGAATAATATAGTGTAGGACCATACCTATATAAGGCATATTTATACTTTTTTTTTTTCAAAATACCAAACAGATCATGCATTTTAGCCATGCCTCATTTCGCTCAATTTGAAAAATGTTAGCTCTGTTTTTGCAAGGGCAGATTCTGTGAGAACAGCACCATCTACTGGCCTGGCATATGTACTACAGCGTCTCCAGCGCTTTCGAACGGCAATGGCCGTGGCTGTCTCCTCCTGATTGGTGGAGTTGGCCCAATAGCCGTAGCGCCACTGTCCTGACGTCAGGACAGTGTTCAAATCTGGATCAGTTTTTATCAGATCCGTTGCAGCCCCTTTTTTAGAGATTTGGGTATGGAGGAAAATAGAGAGGGTTGTGTTTTCTGACACTTGGTGAGTTCCCTGGAACACCGGGGACACATATTCATGTATAAAAGACGTACAAAAGTGCATTTTGCATGATAGGTCCCCTTTAAGTACAGGTGTAGAAATACGAGTTTGAAAAGTAAGTAGTTGTAATTAAAAGTACAAAAGTATTAGCATCATTATGTTTTCAAATACCAAAAGTACTTATTATACAGAAGGCCTATATCATTATAATAAACTATATATTGTATTATTTGATTACAGAAATATTCATAATTTTTATTTTTTGTATGTCTAGATAGATTTATATAAAATAGTATAATATTCTACTTATTGTTAATGAGAATTTTGTTTGTTGCTTTATATTTTGTTAATGTAGTGGATAAAAAAGTAAAATATTTCCCGTCAAGATAAGTATCTCAAAATTGTACTTCAGTAAAGTACTTGAGTAAATGTACTATTACTATTACTGCATGATTGTACGTGTTGTGTTCAGGTAACAAAGAGCACGTCCGCACTCTGATGCTGAAAGGCCTGCGACCCTCCAGACTGTCGAGGAACGGCTTCACCGCGCTGCACCTGGCTGCTTACAAGGTGGAGAGGAATGAAGAGCAATAAATACAGGATTTAAATATTATTTGAATGTTTTTTAGGTGCAATCTGTCTTGTTTTGCTTGTGTTGTTGTGTGGTGAAGAGATGTCCGACCACATGGTGGAGTGCAAGTGCCAGAGGTGGAAGAACAACTTCTACTTGAGTAACATGTAGTAATACCACAGGGAATAAATAATCCTTTACAAGTAAAAGTCCTACAGTACATTCAAAATGTTACTTTTAATGAAGGTAAGTATTCATTATGCAAAGAGGCCCATTTAGAATAAAATACATTTTATTAGATTATTAAAATTCTTACCTTAAAACTTGAAATACTATTTTTTATGCATTTGGAAACGTATTTATCACAAAGTGTGTCGTTATTTCGCCTCAATATTTGAGGTCTTAGCTAAAAACGATGTAATTGGATGTCTCACGGTAGGGCTAAGTATTTTATAAGCTATTTTTTCTGACATATAGAAAAACTAAATACTAAGTACACGTATTGACACAATAAGCCAATAAATAATGTGTGCATCCTCTGCAGGATAATGCTGAGCTGCTGACGGCTCTCCTCCACGGGGGGTCTGACGTGCAGCAGGTCGGGTACGGAGCCCTCACCGCCCTGCACGTCGCCACGATGGCCGGACACCACGAGGTGAGAGCCGGGATTATTTTCTCTTTAATTAACAGTGAGGACAAAATATCAACAGCTCTGGAATATGGCATTTTAGTTTCCTTTGATTCTTCACGACATTAGATAAGTTGTTTTGTCTGTTGATGTGTGACTATGTGACTATAGTGTGTATGTTTCTCTGTATGTGTTCGGACCCCAGGAAGAAGAGCCGATGCTCATGCTGTTGCTAATGGGGATTCTCATTTAGACATAAAGGACTTTTCATTGATTTTAAACCTTGATAATGTGTATTCCCTCCACCAGGCCGCAGATATCCTGCTGCAGCACGGAGCTAATGTGAACGTTCAGGATGCCGTGTTTTTCTCTCCACTGCATATTGCTTCTTATAACAACTATGAGCAGGTGAAGTTCTCTTATCAACCACTTCTGCATTCTTAGAGAAAATAAGTGCTTTTCTCATCCAAATGTATGTGTGTACTCATCTCTCTGCTTTAAAGCTGGCCAAGCTGCTGCTGAAGTTCGGGGCGGATGTGAATGCGAGCGGGGAGGTGGGGGACCGGCCTCTGCACCTGGCTGCAGCCCGAGGGTTCCTCTGCATCATCAAACTGCTGCTGGGGGACGGGAGCAAAGCCAACGGTGAGACATGGGACTCCAACAGGTGGTTCCTAAGAATATAGACTTTTCAATAAATAACAGCAGAATTTTTATAACAATATTCATATAAAATAGATGCCTTAATGTTCAAAAAGTGTTTTTCTCATACTGCCTGTTCTGCAGCACCCTCGGTCTGAAACCAGAGCTAAGATCATCTGATTGGTTAGCTGGCCGACTCTGTTCTGATTGGTTGTCCCGCCCCTTAGCTTGTCACGTACATCGGTTGGAGCGCTAGCCAATAGAAGCACAAATGTTACATAGTGATGTCCTCATGTTATGCAAGTAAACAAAGTAGTCCAATGGAGGCGTTTCAGGCAGTGTATGGGAGAGAAACTCCCTCTGGAGGAAACTTTGGGATTTCGGCCTTTGCAGACCATTAACATGCACAAAAAACGTTATAACACACTACAGGAAAGGGAAAACCCTGTAAAGTTAGGATCCATTTAAATAACATTCACTTGAGCCAGAGTGGGATTAAATGTTTAATTTACCGTAACTTGGTTCTGTTCTTCTCTCCAGTAAATGCTCAGGACAACGAGGACCACGTCCCTCTTCACTTCTGCGCCCGCTTTGGTCACCATGAGATTGTGCGCTTCCTCCTTCAGGGAAACTTCGAGGTGCAGCCTCACTCCGTCAACATCTACGGGGACACACCATTACACCTGTAAATGATTCACACTGTCAATAACCTTCTGCACGTTTGTGTACGATGACATGAAGCGCTGTATTGAAATGTGTGTCTCACCAGGGCCTGCTATAATGGAAAATGTGAGGCCGCTAAGGAGTTGATTGAGCTTTCAGGCACAGACAGTCTGACGAAGGAGAACATATTCAGTGAGACGGCCCTCCACAGGTATTGTCTCACACTGTATTTATTTATAGTCGTGACAAACACCTGCTGTGCATAATGCATGCTATATGGCACACTTTCCTCTCCAACCTGTGAATCATGCTGCTCTGAGGTGATGATGAGACCATGTGTTGTGTTACAGTGCGTGCACATATGGTAAAGACCTGGAGATGGTGAAGTTCTTCTTGAGCAAGAACGCCATGAGCATCAACACTCAGGGCAGAGACGGACACACAGGTGAGAGTCTTTTATAACTCCCCTTAAAGATTCCCTATTGTACTGTTTTTCATCAATATATCATAGGTCTCAGATATATACAAAACATGTCTCTGAAGTGTTTGGCTCCAAATACCAAACAGATCATTGCAGCATCCCATAATCCCCTCTGTTTCAGCCCTGTTTCAAAAGTGCTGATTCTCTGTCTGTTACTTTAGATGAAAATAAGGAGCCCCTCCCCACGCCCCTCTGAGAGATAGTTGGTTAAAAAGAACACAAGTGCTCTAGGAGGAGATTCAGGTGATAAGGTGGGGGGGGGGGGGTTACCTTGGTTGGTGATTGGCTAATGGTTACACAAGCCAAAACATCGTTATGACATCATAAAGTGGCCAAAATCTGATCAGCTCATTTTCAGACAGGTTTTTATATAAATGGATCAGGACAAAAAGAGAGAGAATCTTTTTTTCCTGAAACTTTCAGAATCTCTTTACACAGAAGGGACACATGGTTATGGATAAAATACATGACAAAGTGGATTTTGCATAATAGGTGACCTTCAACACATATTTTTAAGCTCTGCACAGCGCCTGTTTCCACGGGCACATCCGCCTGGTGCAGTTCCTGCTGGACAGCGGCGCCGACATGAACCTGGTGGCCTGCGACCCGAGCCGCTCCAGCGGGGAGAAAGATGAGCAGACCTGCCTCATGTGGGCGTATGAGAAAGGTTTGTCTGTAAGATAAGATAAGATAAGATAAGATAGGACTTTATTAATCCCGAAGGAAATTATAAACTGTACACTGGTCTGTACACTGGTCTGTGTAGGATAATGGAAAGATTTAAATACAACTTTAAAAATAATCTATCTCTCTATCTGTCTATCTGTCCGTCTGTCCATATATCCATCTATCCATCCATCTATCTATCTATCTATCCATCCATCTATCTATCTATCTATCTATCTATCTATCTATCTATATATATATATCTGTCTGTCCATCTGTCCATCCATCCATCCATCCATCTATCTATCTATCTATCTAAATAATTAACTGTTCCTATGTATTTGTTGTTAGGTCATGATGCCATTGTCACCTTACTGAAACACTACATACGTCCAGATGACTCCCCCTGCAATGAGTACTCTCAGCCGGGAGGGGGTGAGTCGCCTCTCCAGTAAATTATAATCTGGATTTAAAATCACTCGAGTGCTTCTCATTACTCTGTCTGAACATGTCGCCTCTCCTCCAGATGGGTCCTACGTTTCTGTGCCGTCTCCTCTGGGAAAGATCAAGAGCATGACTAAAGGTAGTGAGGTGCAGCGAGGCACGGAGGGTTTCATACACTTCACATCACTGTCAGCTGACAGGAGAACACACACACTGTCTGCAGCCTGTGGGGGGGGGGGGGGGGGGGGGGCTAGCTGCTAAGGAAAACACCTGAATTATATCACAAACACACAACTGTCTCTGTCTGAGTGAAAATAATACTGAATATCTTAGAAAAGCTATTCTGAATTATATAAAAAAACATCTTTAGAGCCATTTACCATCAAGGGTTAAACATGAAAAGTAATTATGCCATTGGGCCTTAAGAGGGCACTATATCAGATACTGAAACCAACAAGCTTCTGCCTCTTTCTTTTGTCATTTAGGGAGTCATCTGTGGAGAAAATACATTATTTTCACTGCTGTAGTCATTTAAAAGCTTTGCACAAGCCTTACGGCCCCTACACATGGCGGCGTGCGTTGAAGCTTGCTCCATTTTTTGGAATATGAGGAAATGTGTGTGTCTCTCCCAGCATAGAGACGGTTTGATTGGCTGCATAAACGGGATTTGATTGGCTGACGCTTCCACCGAAGCTTCAGAAGCTTCAAAAGTTGAACATTGCTCAACTTTTGCAGCCTGAAACGCCAGCAAAGCTCCGCTCTGCTTCCCACAATGCAGTTCGGCGAAAAGTGAGGCAAAGTGACGTCACCCCATTCAAAGTGAATGGGCAGAAGCGTTGGAAGATTTTTTTAACGCTGCTGTGTGGACGTACCGTTACTGTTAATTAATGACTTACACTGAAGCCTTCTTACCAATAAAATACTATTATTCTGATCTTTTCTTAGCAGAAAAACCTAATAAATGTAAATTCTTAAGATAAAATTGTATCCTTGCACACTTTTGTCCATGTTTCTATCCAAGTTGTAGACATGATAACCTGACCATTGTCTTGGTTTGATTTGATCTCAGGATGCTTTTAGAATAATGCACCACCCTGTTAGAAAATAAAGTGAGCAGTATCACCTGGAGAGGGCACTGAAATACCACTTTCTGTGTGGTGTAATTATGCATTATAGTTGGGAAATACTGTAGCTCTCCATTGATGACTTTACGATTTGTGAAAAGATGACTCTTTGTTTCAGAGAAGGCAGAAGTTCTCCTGCTGAGGGCCAGCCTGCCGTCTCACTTCCACCTTCAGCTGTCTGAGCTGGAGTTCAATGAGATCATCGGATCAGGTAAGACCATAAATATTTGTTCTGTTTCAATCAACATCAGAATCAGAATCAGAAACAGGTTTATTACCAGGTAGGTTTACACGTACGAGGAATTTGACTTGGTGTCGTGGTGTATGAAAACAAGAATTAAAAGACGTACATGCTTCAGATAATAAAAATAACACTGAGCATTAAATCGTTTTTATATAGGCTCCTTTGGAAAAGTCTACAGAGGAAAATGCAGGAACAAAGTTGTTGCCATAAAAAGGTGAAATTCCACTTCAAATACTTCCAAATATAACATTTATCATCCCATCTTGGGTAGGGGGTAACTGATTAATTATTGTGTGCAGATATCGAGCAAACACGTTCTGCTCCAAGTCGGACGTGGACATGTTCTGCAGAGAGGTCTCCATCCTCTGCCGCCTGGACCACCCCTGCATCATCCAGTTCATCGGGGCGTGTCTGGACGACCCCAGCCAGTTCGCCATCGTCACGCAGTACGTCTCCGGAGGCTCTCTGTTCTCGCTGCTGCACGAGCAGAAGAGGTGAGGAACAACTGGATATGTAAAGTTGTACATATATGTCAGCAAGCCTATCACAGACAGTATCAAAATGATCCAATACAGTATGTATATATATATATATATACACATGTTGCTAAACCTTTCTCTCATATTTCTACATGACAATTTTACATCAGTTTACATACTTATAAGCACATAAAGAGTTGTATCACTTTGTATTGTAAAAGTTATGGCATAACGACAACACATTTAACCAGATTAACCCGTATGTTGTGTTCGGGTCTCCCGTGACCTGTTTCAAGTTAAAATTATATAATAACTACGCTCTAGTTTTTTTTTATTGGAACAAGGCTTCATGATATCCTCCACAACAGCTATATAAACACTACAAAACTGATTTTGACCATTTTAGCCAAGTCTGAAGTTCTCTAAAATAAAATGTGTATAATTTGGTGTTCGGGTCTGGGGAGACCCAGCAGCTTTGTTTTTGGGTGACTCAAGGTCAAATTTGGCCCAATCAAGATTCATCTTTGACTTTAGACACCCCACCCCCACCCCCACCCCCTTTATCCACTGTAACAATCATTTAAAACTTTTTTTGTAGAGATTGTATTCTAGTATTGGTCTATTATAGTCAGATAATATAATGATCCAGTGTCTTCACTATAGCAAATATAATGAGTGAATTGAATCACATGTTTTACTTAAATATGTGGTGTAATGTTTTTTGGGGCCATAAAATTACAACAGGATTGGACGGTTATGAATGCATAATAAGTTAGTTATGATGTAGTTAAAACAATATTGGATGATAGTCATATTTGTGGAGTGTTTTGGACTGAGATAAATCATGGGTCAAAATTGACCCGCGAACACCATGAACGATAACAGCTTTTGAACACAACGGTTAATAGAAACCACTGTTCTCTGTCATACACTCCAGCACAAGATTATTGTATTGAGTTAGAGCTGAAATGGCTGATTCATCTCGTTTTCGTTGGTCATAAATTAGGTTAAATTATCGACAATTGTGATTACCCATTTGTCATTTAAGCCATTTACCTAGCATACTGTCAAATTGTTTCCAATTGCTTTGTTTCTCTCTCTTATATTCTGAAAACCTGGGTTATAGACTAATGTTCATATACCATGTAATTTACTATGCTATACTATTTACTTCAATTCACAAAGACTTTTTTCAGTTTGTGGATTCTTTGTTCACCGTGGAGGAAGGTGAGAAAAACAAAGGTTTCTTCAAGATTTCTTCACGT